TTTTTTTTTTTTTTTTTTTTTTTTTTTTTTTTTTTTTTTTTTTTTTTTTTGTATACACAAGTCGAAATTATATTATATTATTTGTTTATGCAATATTTTGTGTTAGTTGTTGTCTTATTTAAAAATATGTATGTTTTTAAATATTTTATATATTTTTATTATTATTTTTTTTTTTACATATTAGATATGTAAATATTTTTAGGCGTTATAAAGATTATAAAAAAAGCTATCATTTAATTTGTTGCTGAATTAATTCAATAACGTTTTAATTTCATTTTAAAAACTCTTGTTTTTTTTTTTTTGTTAAAGAAAGTTTCATTGATTTTAAAATATTTCATTTCATTTTAAGCAAATTTTTACGAAATTAAAAAATCTAAACTAATAAATTCATTAATAAAAATTAAAATTTTAAAATAATAGCATGAGAAAACTGACTTAGTTTTATTTAAAATAAATTAATCATTGGATTTGTTGCTTTTATTTGCATTTCTAAAGACAAAATTTCGCAAGTTTCTTATTTTCTTTTTAAATTAAATTATTTCAAAGCAAAAGAAGTTTTATTGAAATTTTCTCCCAGCACAAAAGCGCTTAGAACAGCAAAAAAATATAAAGAACAATCTTCGATAATCAAATTCAACAACTGAATTTAATTAAATTCTTTGAGCGTAGTTTCCACTCTCTTTAATTCTTCTGTTCTGCCAGCAATGGGCAGCGAAAACTTTAAAACTTCCACACACTTTACAGGAGGCACACACACACACACACTTACATGCTGTCACGCACGAAAAAAAAAAAGAAAGAATAGTACTCTACTTATAGCTACTAGATTTATAACACTTACCTTTAACTTTTGTTGTGCCAATGCCGCCGAATTGTCCCTGAATGTGGTTTTGTACTGAGAGCACTTCCATCTTCATTGCCCAGTTGGAAAAATATCTCACTCGTTGCGCTTGCTGTGTTGCCTCCAATTGGATTTATATTTGTGCAGCATTCAAAGTCTTTTTGGTTGACTGGGATTTTCGATGCGATTTGTTTTGTTGGTTTTTTTTTTGTGAGTAGTTGCATACATAAATCAGTATGTATGTATGTGTGTATTTGTGTGTGTGAAGGTGTATATATGTATATCTATGTATATATGTATTAGAAATGCACTTTAATCACAAGAATTTGATTTGATTTTCATGTGTGTTTTATGTGTGTATGTCTGTGTATGTGTGTATGTATTGTGTTTAACTTTTATTAATTTATTAATTTCCGATTTTGCTTGTATTTAATTTTATTTCACGTTTTTCATTTACGGCACACAATTTTCTGACTGAAGCTTTGTCTCTCTATCATACTCTCTGTAGCTCTCTCTCTCTCTCTCTCTTTATGATGCTCGTTTAACAAATAATTGCAAAAAGTATCAACAACTAAATTTGTTATTCTAGTTAAACATTTAAATTTTTTAATACATTCTAAAAAAGCCGAATTTGCCGCCTCGCATCGCTCTCGCTCTCTGTCGCTCTCTTTTATTTTTTAATTTACGCACAGCACTCGAAATTTGAGTTGTTGTTGGAAAGGAATTGCGAATTAGTTAAAGTTCTACACATATACACTGACATGTGTCTATGCATGTGGTTGTTGCTGTTGCTATTGCTGCTTGCTGTGTTGCGGTTGGCTGGCGTCGTTCCGTCTCCGTGCGTGTCGATTGGAGCTGATGCGTTGCGTGCGGCGGCCGCTGCTTGACTGGACGTTCGCTTACACAGCGACAACGGACGAGGGCGCCCTCTGCTAGTGGCAGCAAATTTGAGTTGCTCTGCCGCTGCTGCTGCTGCTGCTGCTGCTGCTGCTGCTGCTGCTGCTGCAGCTGCTCTTCCAACTCAACACGGCCCAAAAGTTAACTCGGCTCAACTCAACTCAATTCAACTCAGCTCAACTCAACTCAACTCAACTGCTCACAGCTGTTTGTTGCGTGTGTGCGTTGGTGTGTGTACGTGTGGGTGAGCGAGCGCCGTGCTGCCAGCTGAAAAAAACTTGCAACAGCAGCTAAGAATACGATGTGGAAGAGATGGACGACACACGGCTGACGGTTGACGGTTGATGGTCGACGGTCGACGGTAGAGAGGAGCTTGGGCGGCAACTTCTGTGGCGGAGCAGTTTTCCAAAGCTACTATCCGGCCGGCGGTATGTGCCTCTGCTTTTATAGCAATTTTCCGGCCAGGCTGCGCTGCCGGCTGCCGGCCGCAGCAGCGCTGCCGCTAACATGAGTGAGTGACTTTTCCCCTTGGCCGTGAATTGTGTCATTCGCTGTAAACGGCGCAAGCGTAAGAGCAAACGCACCCTCAGCTCACCTCTCGCCGCTCTCTGCTCTTCATCGTTCTCTTTCTTGCTCTAGCCGTCCTCTGCTCTGCTCTATCATTTGAGCTGCTCGCCACCAGCTGCGCTCGCTTGACTCCGGCAAACATATGTTGCCAAGCGGCACCATCAGCTGTTGTTGTGCGCTGCTCGCACTCACACACTCACCCAGCTCTCACAGTCACTCAGCTGCTCGGGCTGTCTTTGAGTGTGCTCTTAAATTCGAATTGCTCTTGAGTTAAAGAGTATTTAATGAACTTGTACTCAAGAGCGCTGTGTATACTCGAATTGAGTGTATTTTTATTTCATTTTGGCACTGAGCGCATTCTCTTTGATTCTTGATTTGAGTTATATTTTTGCAAATTTGTTATGTTGATTGGAAAAAAGTTTCTTATGTGTGTGAAATTGTTTAGATTTTGATTGAATACACATAATTGAATAGAAATCGAATAGACTTTTTATTAATACGTTTACTCAAAAAGGGCTTCCAATTGGAAATGTTAGATTAGTTAAGTTAGTTAGACTGGAAGTACCTTATAGGAATAGCTGAAATATCGTATAGGAATATCTCTCTTATCAATATTTTAAATTTAAACAAATACTATGTAACTTGAAATTGAAATATAAATTGGGTTTCCAATTGGAAATGTCAATTTACTTAGCTTAACCTCAAAAGTATCTTATAGGAATATCTTAATATATAGCTGCTTTCTCATGTTATCCTGTTGACAGGACACACACTTCCTATATCTCTCGCTCTCTCGCACTTTCTCGCTCTTTGCTATTTAGGTTAAGTCCGTAGAATATATAAATCATGTATTTGATTAATTGTATGCGAGCGACTTTTATCCTCTTCGACATTTGCTGCAGTGTACTGCAAAGGGATCAGCAGAGGGGCGGCGGAGGGGATGCTGGGTCTTGGATGCTGGCCTTTAAAACTTTGGCAGCCGTGTGGCCACACGCTGGGCCGCCGTTGCCCCCTCCCCCCGCAGCAGCAGAGCGACAGAGCGCCTCCCTCGTGGCAATTGTGTTGTGTAAACATTTTTTCAGCATTAACTGACATGTGTAAGTCCCACACACACATAGAGAAAGAGAGAGAGAGAGAGAGAGAGAGAGAGAGAGAGATAGAGAGAGGTAGAAAAAAATGGCAAGTTTTTGTGGCAGAAGTTTTTGTGGCACATAGAACTGGCTGCAACAGCCGCCCGCAGCTTCAACGTCTTTGCCAACGAAACTGTGACAAATAGGCAAGCGGCAAGGCGACAGGGGCGGGAGTGGGTGTGGGGGTGGTGTCTGTGAGTAGGGGCAGCGGCTGAGGCTGCGGTGTGGACAGCAACTGTGGTTGGGGCTGGGGCCGGGGTTGGAGCTGGGGCAAGGTGGCGCTTGGCATGACTGGCCATTGGCGCCATTTTTTATTTTTTTGTATTAAGATGAATTGTTAAAACAGTGACAGCTTCAGAGCTCCTCACAGAGAGCATTTGCCGTTTCTTTTTTTTTTTATTCACATACATACATATATACATTTTTATTTTATTTATTTTGTTGCTGTTGCTGTTGCTGTTGCTTCAGCTGAAGGAAAAACTATGGAAACTCCTGACAGCAAAAGGAGGCAAAGATTAAAATCCCATTTAATGGTTTGGCAGAGAGCATCGAGAGTTTAGCTAGTCTATATAGGCGTGAGTACAGTGAGCACTCGGCTAAAGTGAATCAACAATAATGGATGAAGCAAGAAACATCGCCATTATTTATATTTCTTACTTTAAATGAAATAGATTTATATTTATTTTAAATTGATCATTTTCACTGTACACTCATATTATTTGAAAATCTATCATCTTTGTGCTGCTTATTTTTTTTTTTTTTTTATAATAAATAAATTATATAAATTTGTGTTTCGTCTAAATTGAATGAGTTATTTATATATTATTAATTTAAATTTATTCAAATTGTATAATAAATTTAAAAAGTTTTTATCATTAATTTAATGCTTAATCTTATAACTATAAATTTATTATTACAGGTTTGTTTAGGATATATGAATATTCATTTTTGTTAATTTAATATGATAATATAATTTGCATATAATCCATAATTTGAATTTTTGGTTAAAAGTAAATACATATTTACTAATATTATATAATTATAATAAAAGTTCAAAATTCAAAGGCTTCGTTTCTTATTTTTATTTTATTTACTTATTTATTTTTTTACTTTTCTTTTTAATTTAAAACAATTTAAATAAAATAAAAAATGAAATAAAAATAAGTTCAATTATTTCAGAATTTCAGAACTTTGAGTATTATTTGAAGCCATATATTATATTTTTTAAATAAACAAATAATTAAATTACTACTACTATATGATTTTCATGATTTTAAAATAAACAACTAATATATGTAAATTTATCAAATTCTATAAAAATTTTAAGCATATAAGACTTTTTTTTTTTATTTCTAATTGGATAGTTACTAGTTCAGAGCATTATTTCAGCCGAGTCTGAAGAACAAAAAAATTTTATTCATATATTTTTAATATTAAAGTCAGCTAATTATTATTATGAATACAATTTTAAAATTATTATATAGAATTTCTATACAAAGTTTAAAAAGAAACTGATTCCTGTTCAAGTTGTGCTCTTACTATCGATATATATGTATAGTATAAATATATATATCTGAAAAATCCTCTCGATATATTCTTTGGCCAGTTGAAAGCTCTTTGTGTTGTGCGCTGGCTTTTATTGTTAAACCGCAAAGAAAAGTCGCCAAAAAAAAAAAAAAAAAAATGAACTGAAAGAAAATTGTGGAAAAATTGTGAAATTTTGAACACGTTTCGTGCATTCACACACTACTGAAAGCTAAACGATGGGCGCTGTGCGGCGAGAGAACAGCACTTGGAAAATGTGAAAAGTGGGCGAAAAGTGCGAAACATCAAAGGGCAAAATATAAGAAGTAAATTCCACTAAAAGCTCCGATTGTTGTTCTGTGTGCGAAAGGCACTTAAGCTTTACAGGCCAATCCTTTCCAATCCAAACGAATCCAAACGAATCGAATCGAATCGAAGCAAAACTACTCAAAGGTGTCTAGATATAGCTATGTATGTGTATGTACACGTACATGTCTATGCATGTATGCATGTATACAGCTCTGGCTAACTCATAGCCATAATCAACAAGCGCTTGGCCTGGGATACGATTGAACGAGCCCAGCGAATGGACCACTTAATGCGCTTTTGTGTAATGCCCCAAACGCGAATATACAAATATATATGTATATGTAACATATATACATATGTAACAACAAAAGCAGCAGCAACATCAACAGCAAGACGCAATCCTTTAAGTTTCGGTTACAACGCAATCGTAGTTGCCACGCCCCCAACCAGCATACAGCTGCCCCCCCGCTTTGCCGATTCACATCGATTTTCATGTGATTTGTGTAGACGTGTTTGGTTTTTATTGATTTTCACTTGATTCTCTCCATATGCTTAAATATACTTAAGCCAGTACGTGAGCATTTCCATCTCTTGGGCAACCGCAGCAGCAGCAGCTGAAGCAGAGGCAGAAGCAGAAGCAGAGGCAGAAGCAGAAGGAGCTAGAGCAGCTCTAATGTCAGGATCATGTGAGGTTATCAACATAATTTCCACTCGTGCCGCCAGCTTCCACAGCCACAGCCGCAGCCCGACACAGCACCACAGCACCGCATCCATAGCCATGCCATTGCCACACCCACAGCTCCAGTTG